GAGGGTTCTGAAGTGCTAAAAGTACTTCTAATGACAAAAAATTAGGCTAAAGTCCCCGAAACCTGTCGGGAACAGCTCGAACAGTTGTTTAAAAACTTTAACACTTGTTTTCTCGGAATGTACATTTTCCGTCTTTGAGAAAAGATATCTCATGATGTATTTAACCAATTGTCCTGAAATTTTCAGGGCTTATTCTTTTATTAGAGCTGTCTTAATTAAGCATAGGAAATTTCTGTATCTTGTGTGGAATACATTTTATGACAAAAAATATTATCAAAAAAACCTATGTTAACTTTGTACCTCTGCTGTGACCACTAGATTTATCATACAAAAAAGTTCTATGCTCATTTAAGATAATGATGCCTATACTACTTACTGATAAAATTTCTTAAAATTCCAAGCAATTTATAAGCAGATATCTTTTCTCAAATGCACCCTAGTTTTGCACAGCATGTGGTATGATTGCCGGCCTGGTGTCAGGTTACAAAGGACGTTAGGCACTAGTGATTAGTATTTTTAGTTTCTATAGGTCATAAGCTTTCTACTGATATATAGTTTGTCATAACTCTGGTGAATATCTTTAAAATTACAGCCATTTCAAAAATGACCATCAATCCATGTGTACCCCCGCCTTAAATTAGAATTGTAAACATGCAAAAATATGTAGGTGCAGTCGTAGACGTTTGTGGGAGTGGCGATGATCACGGCTATTTACACTTGGGGAAAGGAAAGCAAAGTTTAAAGTTCATCAATAATCACGGGCATGTTTCTATGAACCAAGGGTGGACCTTCTCACTGATCACAGGAGACCCATACTCAGTGGTGTCAAGTAACGAAGTAAATGTACTTCGTTACTGTACTTGAGTACTATTTTTGAGAAGTCAGCATGTAACAATTAAGTAAACTTTTTCTGGAGTACTTTTACTTGGAACGAAGTCATTTTAAGAAGTAACATATTATTTCGTTAATTTTCATTTTGTGGCCAAGTATTTCATTACTTTCTCACATTTGTTTAATTTTACATGATTTATTCCCGATTTATTTTAATTTTGGGATAGGTAATAGGACCTCTACATGCATCTGGGATCTCTCGTTTGGATTTCCTATATTTTCAACGGGGTCTGGAAAGTGGACCATGCCGTGAAATATTGTATATTATTATATGGCAAGCATTTGTTTTGATCGATGTATCGCGCAATTTGATTGGCTACTGACGAGGCAGGATTTTCCCGTATTGCCCACGGGCAATTTTTATTGCCCTGCGACGAGAGCCGAGTTTCAAACAGCAAAAAATGTCTGAAAGTCTTTCAAAACTATTCAAAACGAAGAAAAATGAACCTAAAATAAAAAGAGGAGCAACTGCTGTGGTTAAAGAACTTTCTCCTTACGTTTTTGTTTAATAGCAAAAGTCAAAATTACAAGGTAAATTTTACAATGTTTATAACTATAAAAGCAGTCAGGAATAGTTATGTTTTGACTATGTGAGGAGCTGCAAATTTTATTTGCAGATAGCCAGGAGGAATTTGACACGTGAATAAAAAATATACTACTAAAGCGGCCACAGATTTATAATTTTTCCCTGAAAATTTCTGTTTTTGTTAGATAAAAAGAGACATAAATATGAGATGAAGCGAACTAAAAACGTTCTTGTTTTTGTAATTTTATTGAATTTTATTGTTTTCATATTTGTTGTCTTTGATTAAATGACGAAATACCTCGTATTTTTCTTGAAATACTATCCAAAATGTGTTAGTATTCTATATAAAGTATTATATAATACCTTATTAAATTCTAATCATTTAATTGGCTGTTTATGGTCACGTGATATTGAATAGAAAATTCCATTTCCCAAGAGTGCAATGGAACACGTTCCATTGCACTCTCCGCGAGTGCAATGGAATAAAACGTATAGTACAATTGCACTCTTTGTGTTTTCGATAAATCGCATCCCTCAAAATGCTTCTCATACGAATCTATTAGTCTATTTTGGTATTATATAAAACAAATAATGAATGTTTCTTCGTGCAATGGTAAGAATATTTTCATTCGGTGAAAGATGGAATGTTCCATTCAACTCGGCTGTCGCCTCGTTGAATGGAACATTCCATCTTTCACCTCATGAAAATATTCTTACCATTGCACTCATAAACATTCATTATTTGTATAGTGTATAGTGTAGAGTAGTTTTACAGTAACCGAGAGAACATTTTTTACAATTGTTTTTTTTTGCAAACTGTTTCGGACTTTGTACTTTGCCCTGGCGTGACGTTTTCTCCCATTTTTTACAAACGTACAATGCCATATAATAAAAAACTTATACTGACCTCAACCGTTCGGGCAGTACGGGAAAATATCCAACCTCGGTCTTGTTGTATTGACCTCGCTATCGCTGATCGCTCGGTCAATACAGCAAGACCTCGGTTGGATATTTTCCCGTACTGCCCTCACTCTCGGTCAGTAAGTTATTATTATGGTATATGGCTACATGCATATAATGTATGTGCTGTTTTGTGTGTTTTGTATGTCAATCCATTGAAGATCAGCCCCCCCCCCCCTACACGATATAGACAATACTATTTTTTAAGGATTATTCTTTAAGTATGTTTTGTTTGCCTCCAGTACTTTTTACTCTTACTCAAGTCGTTTTATTGTTAATTACTTCTACTTTTACTCGAGTACAAATTCAAAGTAATTTAGGCACCACTGCCCATACTCAATCAGTGTCAGTTTACTTCACTTCAGTTGTTTATTTTGTAGCTAATATTTAAATTGTTAATAATGATGCAAAATAATACTCAAGTGATTTAATCAGCAGTTTCAATGATATTTTAATTTATTAAATATTACAAAATAAATAACTGAAGTAACTGATACTTGTCGAGTATGGGTCTCCTGTGATACTTCATGTTTGGAAAATATAGTGGGTTTGCTAGCGGGCAAGGGGTTTCTGCATATTACATCTATTGCTAGTAATAATTGTGTATATTTACGCCTCAATTTTTTCGTTTAGTATAGTTATTTATGCCTTGTTTGTCTTTTAAACAATGATCCATTTTATGTTGAATGATTAGTGATCCACTCATGTCGAATTATAAATTAATATCCTGTTGAAATTTTGAATACTTAATCAATTTTTGTCGCTATGTTTGGCAGTGCTTCCTCTTTGAAAAACACAAAAATCCTTTTTTTCTCATTTTGACCGAAACTTCGTTAAAAAAATTGTGAAATTTCCTTCAAATATCCTTTAAATAATTTAATCAAATTACGTTGAATATTCTCCAAGATAGCCTTTTCCCAACAGAACAATCATCTGGATGTTCAATTTTATCATTGCTCTGAAGTCTAAACACAATTATATGACTTTATATCCGCACAGATAAATGAGATAACCAAAACTATAAACAGAATGACGTCATTCAGGGAGACGTAATTCAATAATTAGCTACACCGATTATCTTTGTCCGCAGAAATTATGATATTTTTTCTGCACTTTATCGAGTACTTATTTTTATAAGAATAACGTAATAAGAATTACAATATGATTATAACTAAAACACGTTATTGTTTGAAAAATATGAAATTTACGTGCAGGTTGCCTGATAGCTGATGTTCGAAAGATGCAACTTACACTGAAATACTAAATAAACTGCGTTGGCTGCATGCCAACATGTGTTGATTATGTTTGTCTGTTCGAATGATTCTTTTTCAGTGCTGTAGTAACGTGCCGATTTTTCTAGCTTATTTTACTTTGGACCAATGAGACCAAAGACGTCGACTTCAGCGAATTTCAATGATCCGTTTTGACCAATTTTAGCTGACTGAAAACTCTCTCTGGCTAATGCCATTGGCAGGGGCGCCGGAGCCACGGGGGCAGCGGGGGCAGCAGCCCCCGCTGCCCTAACGGTGCGGGGGCAGTGCGGGGGCAACTGGTTGCCCCTTTTTGTGACAAAAAAGAATTAGCGATTTAGCGGCATTAAATTAACTAATAAGTTATTATTGTTGACTGGCCGTCATATGTATAAGTACATATTATGACCACGTTCATTTCATGGTTCATTTACGCATTACGCAGGCTACTTTGATAGCGTCTTGTTATTTTCATGGAACAATTTGGTTGGGTATAATCCATACAATCCTTCTATTTGGACGAATATAAGCCTTCTACATTTTTGTAGTTTCGTGACACACCTAAATTTCTGTGGTCGATTAGCGCATGCAGTCATGCTCTGGCAGACTGGCACTACAATAACGCAATCGCGATAAGTCTTCCCCTGTTCTAGATTGGTTTAGAGTATTCCAGCTTCTTGTGGCTTTCCACCCAAGATACGCAACCTTATTAAGTTCAGTTTTTAGTTTGTTTAATTAATTAACTTCCTTGCCTCTATATAGTATAAATAGAGTTTAAATTAAGCTTCGCGTCTCAAGGAACGACAAACGGCAGGTTCGAACTTTCTTCGCAATTAAAATTTTCGTTAAACGTTTTCGTTTCATATTTTCTTTCTTGTGTCGAAAGAATAATCATGCATTGCAGTTTTAAAACAGCAAGTTAATTTACTCTTTATTGCCTGATACCGTAAAATATACGTAAAATCGGTACGTTGCCGTTTCCCGTGGCGCGAAGCTTAAACTCTCGGATAATAAGAAGCACTGAACCGTGATGGTTAGTTGACTCGTTTTTTCGGTTGGGTTATACATCAGCATACGCAAGCAAAGAAGCAAGGATTACAGATTGTAGTTATCGGTTTCTTTATAGTACAGTGTTACAAGTCGGTTTACAGATCCTTTCACTGACGTCACAAATCCTTAGAGTGTCCTCCAGATGCTCCCTAACAATATCTTTTCGGATACAACAACCACATACAGCGCAAAAACTAACCATTTTAATTAATACAGAATTATTTATAAAGTTTTACAAAATTTGCTTTGTTTACAAAAGTTATATTATGCATAGATTGCTAATTTGTCCTCCAGATGCATCGTCACCGGCGCTGTGACGTCTTGTGCAATGGGTCTATTGTTCCTTTATCTTATTATATATCAATTTAGTTTACTCTACATGCATTGTTGTGCTGGTAAACTTGCACAAACCGCTGTATTTGCGTTAGCTCGCTATTGTAGGCAATATATTGCGCTTTTCTGTTTTGCCTTGCACAATGTTCGTGACCTACAACTGACCACTTAGCGCAAAAAAAGGAAGACCTTACCAACGATGAACTTTTCGATAGCCTTGGTGCTATATCAAACGTAATCGACATAAAGGAACTAAAGAACGAGCTGGGAAAGATTCCTGTCGACATCAAGCTCTACAATTAGGAGGCAACATATACAGTTCCCCTAAAGAAGATCACTAAGGTTTCCACTATTTGGGATGTCTTGAACGAGAAACAAAGTTCAAAAGAAACCCTTCCGGAAACCAACAAGTTATTGTGCCTTTACCATATAGTGAACCACTAGGATCAGCAACCGCAGAGAGAGGTTTCTGCGCTAAATCATGGTTAAATCATGGCTACGGTTTGCGATGCTTGTATACAACCAAGGTTACTGATACCACCAAGGTTGCCACCATGGACGATGTTTGTAACAGCAAGGTTGCCAGAGATTTTGACCGAGTGAATGAAAAGAGAAAGTACTTTGGAAAAACGTCTGAAAACCGCGGAAAAACGTCTGCGCATGCACCAAATTATGAAAATATTGCGGGGAATTTGAATATCAATTTCTAAAACAAAAACATGCTTATTAATTGGTCAAAAATTAGTAAAACAAACGAGAAAATATAGCAAATGGCTAGACTAGACATTAATTGAAAGCGTCCTGGCATTTAAAGTATGAAATGAAATATAATTCATGTAAAAAATTGTTGATTTTAACGGACACGACTTCGAAAATTTTTGCAAAATTATTCAAAACAAAAATTCAAACTAAAAAGTTAAGAAAACTCTCGAAAAGTTAAGCTTCTTAACCCACTCAAATTGTAGAATAAATCCTAAAGTTTAATTATTGTGAACACGAAATTTTTTTTATATTTGGCGACACAGTTTTTTTAAAGAAATGTACCTCAAACGAAAATTCGGAAATTGTCGTTGCTTAGTTGATAAACAAAATGTTTCAGACGATAAATTTGTCAACAATTACCTTTAGTTCATGCAACCTCGTACCCAGGATCTTTCTTTGGGAAAGACCCTGGCTGCGGCTGGTCACGTGCCTCATCAAAAATTTAGCGCCTGAGGGAGTATGGGGAAAGTATCAAATTACATAAACATGCTTCCAGTGGAACATTCGTTAAAAACATAAATTTTGCGAATTATTACGTTCAAAATACTTGCTAATTTTTGTTTATTTTCTTTGCTTTGAATTTACAAGAACATTCTTACATTCTTACTTACAGTCAAGTCAAGAAACAAAGCAAATCGTTACTCGCAGTACGTGCTCTGTCGCGTTGTTATTCAATGCATGCTCTCTTCACAATCGAGCGCGGTTATAACAAACCTTTTAAAGGGGAAGTCAAGTCCGTTCTGCGCATCGGTTCTTCGCATAACAATAGAGGGCCCTCTGAGGTAAAATTGCCCAAATTTTGAATGTTTCGAATTTTTCTGAACACAAACTCTATTTCATATTCATGTAGAAGCATAACGAACCAAAATGGTGTTAGATATTCAGACAGTACATCATATCAGTAAGGTCGCAGTCCTAACAAGGTGTATTTTCATTGGTCGCCAGTAAGCCAATTAAAATACCTTCCTATGCTGAGTAAACCCTCGGCGGTATTTCTCTTGTCTTTAGCGGCGACATTTCTCTTTACAAGCGAATTTACAAGCGAATTTTGAAGGCGAATTTTACAGCAAATTTCAAGAGGCTAAGAAAAGAAAATATTATCAGTTCCCCTTTAGATGGATCAGGTATTTACATGAGATTTCACTTTATTGAGCGCCTCACTAAGCGCTTATTTTAATACATATTCATCATATTGTGTTATTGAATGAATGCCGCTATTGTATAAATTTTATGGTATAAATATCAGGTATAAATATTCCATTTATATTTTTGAGCATTATGATAATAGATGGGATTAGGTATTAACAAAAGAATGCAATATACTGAGCGCCTAAGCGCATATTTTAATACATATTCATCATCTTCTGTTTATACCAGAATGCCGATATTATTACTAAAATGCTATTTTATTTATACTGGTATAAAAACTATATTCACTCGTGGATAATAATATCACAATCAAAAAAATTGGATCTATATCCCCACACCCGGGCAATAATATTGACTCATTTGACTGTTTAGTACACGTTCAATTGCACGTTTATAATTCTATGGACAATATAAATGTGTAATTTAAAAATGAAAATTAAAGCCCAGCAAATGACTTTCAGACAAGACATAACAATTAAAATATAAAATTTATTGGCTAACGTTTCGTTGTATTGTTCACAACATCTTCAGAGCAATTAAACTTATTTACAAGCGTGTATTATACTTATATATTTGCTGGGCTTTAATTTTCATTTTTAAATTACGCTTTCCACCCGGTGTATCAATTGCTACTGTTTTAATATAAATGTGAAGTAGAAAATAGAAGTTCTACAACAAGAATAAAAATGCTTTTATATTAATGTAACAGTATAAATTCTCAACCCTAACTTCAGTGCATCTAGATAGACATTTGACAATATAAATGTCAATCTTTGAAAAAAATATTGTCTTTAGTCAAGCCAGGTTTCATATGTTGTGATGGTTGGCGATGCACTCATAGATCATTGTTTAGATAGTGATCATTGTTAAAAAAGCATTTTATTCACCAATGATCAAAGACAGGTACTGAAGAGCATTGCCGACCATTGGCGACATATGAAAACCAGGTTTACTTCACTGCTGTATTTGTTATTATTTTGCTCTGGTTGAGCTATTGAGTCAATGTCAGATTAATATGAAACTAGTTTTTCTTATCTCTGAGGATGGTTCTGAAATAAAATTTCTGTTGTCAAGTGATTTTAAACCACATTAAGATATTCTCCAAAGATATTTATAATTCCAAGTTTTCCCAAAGAATTAGTTAATTAATTAAATTAATGAGTATGAAGCCATTCACAAACAAATTCAATATATTTTCCAGTGAAATCTGCCAAATCCCCCATGATGGGAAATGTAGAAGTCCCCGGGCTAACAAAAATTAGGCAATAGCCCCACTCCCCAGGATTAGGAAAAGCTGTGAAGGCCCAGGGGATGGGTACTGCTGGGATTGACTGATACATAATGAATGCTGCTATTGTATAAATTTTATGCTAGTATATAAATCTTATATTTATGTTTTGAGTGTTAAGATAATTTCAGTTGTGCCTGTGGCACAGTTTGCACTTGCATGCATTTATCAATTAAATTATAAATATAGAATCTATTTGATGGCAATGCACCCAGACACATGCACCCACTTGGAAGTACTTTACTCCTTGATGGAAGTGTACCGCCATTTCATGGGCTAATCTGTAGATACGCAGTAAGTACTGTTGCATGTACAATATTAATTAACATAATATAATTATACCGGTACTGTATCTATTAACCATTTGCATGAATTTTGCCTTTATTAAGGGGTCCAGTGGTAAAACCGGACGTGGAAAAGGCACTTGTCCCAAGTGTAATGGTTTTTATGTTAACCGGTACAAGCCTGAAAATTGCCAGAACTGTGGTTTTGAACTTGGTGGAAATTATGTGCCCAAGAAAAAGCCCCGTCTGGAAGTCCCGAAGAGCACACTTGTATTGCAGTCAGGGCAACTTTCTATATATTCTGTTAATACAAGCACTCATGATGATCGATGTATTGTGATAGTCAATGCAAATGCATCAATATGTGAGCACCGCCAATGCAAGCAGTCAAGGGCAACTCTTGTCAACAGTATGAAATCTGCCAATTTCAGTTGTGAGCATTTGAGAAGTACTGAAACATGCATCACTAGTTCTTCTGCAGTTTTCAACAATTTACCTGATTTGCCAACTTATATATGTGATGATAGTACCAGGAAAGATTTAATGGAAATTACTTCATTGGCAACAGACTCTACAATTGCTGTCAAAGTGTCACCAACCATGTATTGTGTATTTGGTAAACCTACAACAAATAATCCTTCTGGCTATTGTCATGTTAGGGTGACTGATAAGGAAATCCGATGTTGTTCCAAGGATTGTAAAACTATAATGGCTCGAGCAAAACAATTGAAATCACGAAAAATATGTACCCATGTCCACATTCTATTATGTCTAGGCATCATCAAGAATGACGACAATGGTGCTTCCAACACATTAAGTTCTGAATCTCCAATTGCTAGCACTCATAGTGAAAGCTCAGAACATGTTGACAATAACCCATCATCACAAGCACGTAATGCGACAATTGAACTGAACATGAGGCACACACTTCCCTACTGTATTCCTTCAAATATAGTTAAGCAGGCTGGTAATATAGACTCAATCAATGGCTGGCCAGACATCTTTTATCCTTCTGTTGAAAATTGTCAATTATGCAACGGCATTCTTGGCCCCTCGAAACCACATCCTAGAACAAGAGGAAATTCTGTTCTCATAACTCACTTGAATCCATTCAAAGTTATCAAAGTACATGTCAAGAGTTGTTCTAATTGCTTGGCAATGCATCAAGTTTTTCCATACCAACTAGGTCTGTATATTTCATTATCAACTTATTTCGGGAGGCTGTAATGGTGAAGGTCTTGGTAAATACAGGCTAATTTTTATCTAGTATAATCCTTTGGTTATAATTTCTATGTTCTTTGTCTTTAATAGGGTTATTCAATATTTGTGACAAGGTTCTGGTGTCATTTGACATTTTGTTAGAATGGAGGCATCTTTTTCGTAAAGGGGTGCCAATATCTATAGCAATTCAGAGTAAACTTAATGCATTTGTTGATAAAGTGGAGGTAAAATTATAATGTTTGAAATTATCTATTACTGCAGAGCTTCCATTGACAAGTAAAATCGTTTGGCATTAAAAGTAAAAAGAATAAGTAGGGTGCATTGAGGCTCAGTGGGTTAAACTATAGCAATGCACATGTACATATACACCTGATATTCAGTAGGATAAACCTTTTAACTCTGCCTAACATGCAGCAAATAATTTGTTAATTTAATGTCAGTGGCAGAATAGTCTGAAAGTTAAATGAGTTATGGTACTGTACATTAACCAGCCATTTACTAGAAGTGAGCCTTAATGTATGGTACCGGTACCTACTTTGGTGCCTTATGGTATTGTTACTCTGTCTAACACCAGGTTATTTTACTCCTCAGTGGGAGAGCAATGCCAGTGGATGAGTTAATGGAAATTTATTTACATGTACGGTAGCTGCATATTTGACATCTATATTTAATATATAAATGTTATGTCATTTAAGGTATCACCAGCAACTAATGAACTTGAAAATATTGCCAACCATCTGTACAATGGGTTTTACTGCTTTGAAGCAATAACAGAGAGAGACTTGGACTCTGTCTTATGCGGAATCTGTGGAATAACAGGCGAAGTATATTTTGGTGATGGTAATGAAAAGAATTGTTGTGACATAAGTGAGGTTTGTTGATTATATGAAAGTGTTTCTTCACTGGATTCATACATACATGTACATGTAATAGTACAATATATTTTGGATATTTCAACTGCTTTTATTGTTTTGTTATTATTTAACAGATTGACTACAGCACCGCAGTTCCAGATCAATCTACAGAAGGCCCAATTCCTTTAGAAGATTTCTTAGGCATGCTAAAGAGGCGCTGGATTGAATGTACTACCTACACCCGCTGTCAGAAATTTAATGTCAATGTTTCTGATGTTCCCCCAGTTATGGCACCAGCAATCAGAGGAAATATTATATACAACACTGAACATGAAAAGAATAGTGTTTTCTTAAAACAGTATGGAATGCCAAGTGAAGGTAGATGTTAATTATTGCTTGTTTTAATAATCACCCCATATGTGAATACATGTAGTTATATATATTATTTTTCTCTGTTGAGTAACTTGTGAATAGCAGTACCTTTGTGAGGAATCCATCCACACTGGCACCTAAGAGTAGGATTAGAACTGAGCTCTACCGATCTTTTATTTTGTAGAAATTAGACCTGTGCTGTATTGTAAACCATACAGTGGCATCAATATAAAGGCATCGATAGTGAAGTTATATTATTCTTCAGCTTACCAGTGAAAGCATTCAGTACAGTTTCTATCCTGGCATATTTTTGTATTTTGTTGTTTAAGGTGATCCTGCTTTGCTGCATCAGATGATCTATAATGAAGATATAAGTATGACTGAGCTGAAAAACTACAGTGTAGATGAACTGAGGGAATTATGTAGTTCATGTGGGATCAGTACATCCCAGAAGTCACAGGCAAGTACATCCCAGAAGTGGGATCAGTAGAGTACATCCCAGAAGTCACAGGCGATCCCCATTCACCCATTGTATGTGGCCATTGGTGTATAAAATGCTTTGTCTGTGGGAAATAGAATGGATCCCTGATCCCAGGCTAAAAACGTGTACATTTATACTTAAAGTGGCATTGTCATTAAAATTTTTATTGTCTCAAACGAAAGAACTCCTAAAACTGTAAAGTAATTTCTTTTGAAAGAATTGGTTCCCATGGTTTGTTCTTAAGATATTTCATTTTGTTTGAAGCCATGACACGTAATTTAGCTATTCAATTAGTATAGGTAACAATCTCGAAACCAGAGCCGGCTCTGGTTTCGAGATTGTATAGGTAATAACATAGATATAGGAGATGTAGATTGCTAACGCATACCTAGCGCAGGTGGGGCCTACATGATAAATCCAAGATGGCAGTACAACAGGGCAAAAAGACTATATTCTATTACGAAAATCAGGATGTTTGCATTTTTTGCCGTCGCATTGTTTTGAAACTTGTTCGGTCAAATTTTATGGTAAAGAGAAACTTACCGCGAAGATTTTGAGCATATATATGATTGAATTGGATGAAAACTCGCAAAATTATCCATCGATAAAAGTTCGTGTATAGTACTTGTTATAGTACTATATATGTAACTTGTACAGTTTTGCTTTAATTTTTGCTCACTATTTGCATAAAAAGCAAATTATAACAGACCATAGATGATAGACCCTCATCCAGTGCTCTCATCAGTTTACTTCTCTAACAAGCAAGGAGGGGGGGAGGTACATAACAGTTCATTTTTCATAATTATGAGGACAGAGCAGATGATGATGAAAGATGCAAGTATAAAACACCATTCACAAGGCTAGATGTTAACATAGCACAGTATTTCTGGCAATAAAACGCTCCAACTGACCAACTGACCATTTCACACGAACATTTATCGCTGGATAATTTTGCGATTTTTCATCCAACTCAATCATATATATGCTCAAAATCTTCGCAGTAAGTTTCTCTTTACCATAAAATTTGACCGAACAAGTTTCAAAACAATGCGACGGCAAAAATTGCAAAAATCCTGATTTTCGTAATAGAATCTATAGTCTTTTTGCCCTGTTGTACCGCCATCTTGGATTTATCATGTAGGCCCCGCCTGCGCTAGGTATGCGTTAGCAATCTAGATCTTCTATATCTATGGGTAATAGCATGGTTTCGAACAACCTCGTACCCAGGCTCTTTACACTTGGGTTTCGAGTGCAATTTGGATATAACATGCATGAAAGACTCACGAGTTAACTGTGATTACAGAAAATTGCGGTGCTGTTTGGGATTAACTGCACTGAAATCAACCAGTCACAGTGTAGTAATATCTTTATGTATATTATTACCTATACTAATAAATATATAATGGTATATCAGTAAATGTTGTGAATCTTTGCTATTTTGACGAATTTGTTATAAAACCCAGTATACTTAATAATGGAAAAGAAGTTACTATATACAGTTTTAAGAGCATTTTTAACAAATCCATAGAGACAGATACTGTAGTCATGTAAAGTGGGAAACATTTTGAAAACTTTGTGTTGCACGTTGACGTTGTAGCTTTTATATATGAGTACTGTACGATCCTAATAACGCTTCACATTTATACTCTCCCATCATTGCCAATACATGACTTTGTTCGTTGTATTAATTAAAAAACATGATACTATCCTGTATGACACTGTAAGTTTTTCAACTGTTTGCCGCTACATACTGTATTGTTTAGTTACTATAGATCACTATATTATATAATTTAACGCGAGATTTAATAAATTAATAATATGATCTTTTTTATAATTATTTTTTAGGAAAGAATGCGCATTGACTTACAAACCCTTTACGAGACCTTGCTCGTTGGTTATAGTCCTTGCCATGGCTTTACCCAGGTTAAGGGACACACAGGAGGTTTCTATCATGTAGTCTGTCGTCATGGGGTAAGTGATGTTTACCAGTACTGATCACTGTAGTCTGTAGTGTTATACATGTTTGTGTCCTTATCCTCGGCTCGTTTATATTCAGATTCAATATATTATGATCGTGCACGGGAATTCAACGATCCAAATTTCGGATTTTCAGAGTCGTGCACCAAGAAAAACGCATTAAATAAACTAGCAAGAATGTCCAGAGTTAGACACAATGCAAAATCCATAGAAAACAGGTACAATTTGTTCAAAATTTTCACGAAATGGGGCCCGAAATTGTATGAAACATTTTGCCCACTCCACGAAAGGCCCCGCCATTTTGAAAAGGATCAAGCAGCTCATTAATATTCTATTTTGTGGCTATCGACGATTGGAGATCCACTATCCGTGATCCGTGACAAATGCATGCCGAAACCTATACTCGTCTGGGGCACAGGAGGCAGCACTTTCCTTGCGATAGTAATTTTTTTACGTATAATGGACGATGGACTACCGGTCATTACGGGAAAACAATGGCCGCTGAAAGCGCTTCTCAGCCAATCACAGTCCGCCATTTCACTGGAAGTTATGCTTGCCATATAATAAAGTTGTTTAATTTGATATTGCTGTGCATATACTTGGGTATGACCAATTAACGGAACTTTAGACCACGGAACTGCGGAACTTAATAATATCGCCTTTTACTTCTTGTATAAACATTGGTCCTTTAATAATTTAAGCATTTTTGGTGTCTATTTACACAATTTTGTTCTATTTCGCCAGTATATTAGTTTGGACAACAAAAAAAGCATGCACGTCACTTCTCAGTACAGTAAGTAAGTATTCTCTAGCGTTCTCACTTGGAAGTTGGAAACCATCTTGTAGAAAAAAATTCAGACTTACTTTGGAAGAACGTTTTAGTAAGTAGAGGCATGGCGCTACAGTGTGACCAGATTATATCATACACTGTATTTATCTCATGATCCGAGTAACATAAATGGAGGATTATATTACACGGCACGTGGTCTGCCGTTCCGTTAATTAGTCATACATCATATACTTGCTGTACCGCATGTATTAATTTCGTTTTTTACCAGGTTACTGCAGCCTCAAAATTCCTGACCATTAAAGAATCTGTGCGGGATGCTGCAGATTTGTATTTATCCTTCAAGCATATTCCACTAGCTTTTCTCTGCGATACCCCTTGTGGGTTTGTTAGACATTTGGGGTGTCGTGCCAAAGAAGTAACTGAACAACTTTGGGGGAAATTCTGTGGCTGCTTTGAAGAACCTTCACTAGAAAAATCTCCTACCACAGTAAGTCATTAATATAGTAGAAAGTACATGCATGCAGCAACCCCTCGCCTTTAATAAAAGATGAAGTATAAAAACTCCACATAAAGTATTAAGTATTATTAAGTATTAATATTATTATACATAAAAATAACATTCGCTGCAATTTCATGTACACCAGCTTCCATCAAAATAAAACACATTATTTATTGTGAATTGTCGAGTTAAGGATGGCTTAAAAATTTCGCAGATATGAATAAAATCGACAACACAAAGCAAGTGTTTGTGCGATGTTTACACTTAATACCCAAACCAGCACAACAACGATTAAATTATTAAAAACATCAACATAAAAACAATTATTACAAACTTTGTTTCACGGTTGAACAGCCACTAATTCACGAAACTACAAGCTTATTTCCAGTTAAAAGCGAAAGAACTGAAAAGTCTTGTAGTTTTTTAAACAAACAAATAGACCTTATGTGTAATGACGTCAGAAGGCTTGATGCCCGCGAGGAATGCTGGTTCTAGTAGTTTTCGCCCGGGAAAATTTCGATTGTGGCCATTTTGAATTGTTTAATTTTTCCGGGCGTTGACTACTAAGACCAGCATTTCTCGCAGGCATCAGACTATGTGACGTCATTATTCATAAGGTATTTTGCTGATTTGCTGTAAAGCAGCAAACGTCCTTTCACGACTTTCACCAGAACACTGTGACTGACTGACTGACCAGAGCACAATTGTACTCGCGCATGTGCATAACGTCAAAAACCATCCATGACATATAAACAAAATGGAGGATAACTTTCAACTTCGCTATGTTTTCATACACGGGTATAATAAGCCGTCCGGAATTAGTACCCTTACTGTTGGCTCGGGGCAATTAAAATTTGCGGCAATTTTCCCATATGATTTAGGGTCTGTTCATATGGAAAGAAGTTATCCCCGGTTAGCGAGAAAACATTTCGACAAGTTTACGTACAGGCGAGATCTCGTCATGTTATGAAAATAATATGAAAAAGTCACACCGCATTCATATGAGACGAAAAGTTTTCGTGTGTACCGATATCTCGCTTGTTGACAGGCGACATCTCGGTGCATGACCAGGATAATGTTTTTCCCATATAAACACAACATAACCACAACTTTGGCGCTTAGCTGGAAAACATTCTTACAAATCCTTGCGCGTCACACCAGTGCTAGGTCACAAGCCGGAAACTTTACCCGGTAAGCGTTCCCATATGAACAGAACAAAATTATTTGGCTAGTCGAAATGTTTTTTCACTAACCGGGATAACTTTTCCCCATGTCAAAAGGCTCTTAGAAAAAAACTAATTAATTGTCCAAAGTTCAGAATTAACTATTGCATAATCACCGATGTTCGAAATAATCACCAATACCATTGGAACAGACAACGCGTTTGGGGTTTTAAATATTTTTGCATGAATTGGGTTCAAAATTCACATCACACACAATTTCTAAATGCTTTTTAGGGAATAAATGTACCAGCGCTTGTAACGTCGGAGTACCGTGCAGCAGATAAGGAAATGGTTGATCCTGGAGATACCATAGCACATCCACTCACTGGTATGACACGGAGATACGTTTTGGGAGATAGATTTCATGCGGCAAATAACCCACACAAGTCCCCATTATGTCGGTATCATGACATCAATTTATTGCAACAATCAAATACCATCAAGACAAGCTACCAGGAGTCAGAAAACAACAGGAAAAATGTACGACGACTCAGAAGTTCATGCATGCAAAATTTTTCTACTCATTATTTTTACAATTACTTAATGGACTTTTACCAAAATGAGGAAATTGTAAAGAACCAAAAGGCTACTATTTCCAAGATTCTTAAACCTAATGAAGAATTAATAAGGGATACGTATATGCGCTTCATAGTTAAAGAACGCTAGTGTAATCGTTTGCAATCGACGCCATCTTGGTTGATTTTTAAAACATACATGGCAACTAAAAATCTGCTGTATATTCTTCTGATTGTGTCAGAAATCGTAAACTATCTATAATACAGTAAGATGTTTTCAAAACAATCCAAAAATATTAAAATAACTCAACTATTTCGATATAAATGGCTGGACAAAACTTTAAAATCAACCTAGATGGCGCCTAATGACACGTAGTGACGTTATGTGCAAGCAAAGAATATCGACTCACATGATCAATATACTGTTTATTAATAATTAACGATATATTATTACTTTAATTCATGTTTCATTTTCAGATATGGCATCAAATAAAATAATTTAATCCAGTATGTATGTTTTCAGACTTAAAAATTTCAATATTGCCTTTTCTGTCTTTAAAACATGAAAAATTTGAATAAAATATTGAGGAAATATTCCACTGGCATAAAGATATACAGCGTGCCTCCACATTTGAAGAGTTTAAGAAATTCGAATTGTTACTAAATCAATTTGAATTTTGATTGAATTTATAATACACACTCCTCGAGGCATGTTTTCCGTTTATTCCGTATCAACGCCTGTTTATAAGGCAATTTCTTGCCCTATAGGACTTGCCTTTTTGCAAAAATTATGAAAGACCCATAAATCATGCATCCAGAGATACTGCTTAAAATTGCTGTTTTATTGATTGGCTTATTGCATTTTTCCTATATTGGTTTAATACTGATTATATATTTCCACGACACTTGTCGTGGGGCTCAAGATAACTTATTAAACATAGGATACAGTCGGTTTGCGCATGCGCACATAGGAATCTCCTGCCGTGATATAAACACGTTAGTTGTGTTTTTATCTCATTTTATGTTCTTGCAAAGCCCAATTGTTGTATCTTGATAATTAATTGTACTGTAGAAGCATGAAAATATAAATAGTTGTCGAATAAAGTTCAATATTTTAAATACCGAAATGTAAACAAAGGCATTGTTTACATACGGACTGTACCCTACCTTTAAATTTTAAAAAGTAAATTTCCTATTGATACATCAGTCTATATAACAGGGGCCAGTTGTTCAAAGCTGGATTAGTGATAACACTAGGTTAACATAAAAAGCAAATTTCAGGGCAGCTTGTTTATAAATTTGAAAATATTTCTTCAGAAACATTGTCTGAATCGATAGGAGTTTTCTTCTCCGAAGTTTTGAAATAAACAGACGTGCAGAAATACACAAACTAAAACAGCAGGTTAAATTTAAACCCTGGGTTAACGTTAATCCACCTTGGCTTTGAACAACCGGCTCCAGAATTAGTGAAGTATTAAGTCTATATAACAGAAATGAAGTTGTAAGTCATCTTTTGAACTTGTATAATTATTACAGAAATAATAGAAAAAGTAGCTTAGGTAACGCTATTAAATATATTATATATATATACATATGGTGCACCAGTCAGTCTCAGTCATGACGTGGGTTTGCATGCCGAGGATTTGCATGATGTACAAAACCTGTAGGAAGAAAACAATGCATATATGACATTTTGAACAATTTTCTTTACATAATTTTTTTGTAGTGTTCAAAACTCACCAGTCCCCTTCCGGTACTTTTTGCAATCCAAGGCATCTTAAATGGTACCAAGTATTGCCCGGGCACTATATAGTTAAGTGAAGAAAATGAAAAGCATGTCAACAGTGTATTCCTTTCTCAGCTTACTATAGATTTTTACTTATCTAAATTGGTACCCTGTAATTATACCTTTTCTGGATAATCCGTTTCGCAGAGTATCATGGATGCCTCCTCTTTTCTGTTTCTTTCCTGTCGATAGATAATGTCAAACAGATAGCTCGGTATCAGTATTATAAATGAGGACTTTTTTATCCTATCCTATTTTCCAGAGGTTAATTGACGTTAAGCAGAGGCCCTTCATTTATCTGGACGTATTTTAAAGCATTTTAATAACATCCTTAAATAACATCCTTAATATTCACGCTAAGTAAGTTACGCGTGTGTAAAACGTAAATTATGAGTATTTTATATATATATATATATATATATATATATATATATATATATATATATATATATATATATATATATATATATATATATATATATATATATATATATATATATATATATATATATAGACAATTTACCATTTTGCATGTGCACCACTGATAGGAATCTGCCTTGGCATTATTTGTTGAATCTAGATGTAAGTTAATAACAGATGTTGAATTTTGATGTAAATTAATTACAGATATTGAAAAATTTCTTGTTGATACTCAAGTTACAATGTCAATTAATGCACTTTACGTTTTAAAATATAAATCTTACCCCGCGTATTTGGTCTGGAACGAGGCAACACCCCAATGGTTCCGTCGACAAATAACGACTTTTTCGCTTTTAATCTATCTACAAAGGCAAATAGATGTTAATTGTAATGTACTTTTAAAAATACATGGGCCATTAGAAATTGAAAGGGGGAATTAACTAATTAATTAGGTCAGTTTATTGCAAATTAAAACGGCGATTGGTTTTACATTTAAATTTGGTTTAAGTAAGGTCTAGCTCAAACGTTTTGATATTAAAAAAAGACCCGAGTGCAGCATACAGTCAGTTAAAAATTCTTGCACAATTTTATTGATGAAAATAATCCTTCCCGAGAAAATTTCCATATGTATCTTTTTAATTTCTAATAGTCCATGCAGTTCAATTGACTTTCTATCTGCAGTTTGTTAAAATGAGAGATATAAATGAAATTTTACTCACTATCTTCACCACATCTATTTTGAGAAGCCCGGCCAAAGTCCAGAGGCGTAGACGTGGTCGCTGTTTCTGCCCCTTCCGCTTCCTGTATATCTATAAACATACATACATGTAATGACGAAATCACACATCTCTCATAAACATTTATATAATCATAATATAATAATTCGATTGCGTTATTATCATGCAGTTTGTTAAAATGTGAGATAAAGGTGAAAAAAAACTTTCTCAACTCACTATCTTCACCACATGTGTCCTTAGATGAACGACCAAGATCCGTAGGAGTAGACGCGATTCCTGATCCTGCGAGTTCCGTCTCCTGCATGTCTATTATGTATAATATAGTATCAGTGTTTTTTCGAACCTTTTTTTTTTTTCTTATTGGTCAAAAATGAACAGCTAATTAACCGTTATTTTACGAACTCGAGTCGAATATGAGCTGATCGATAGCAGCCTTAACACCTTGTAACAGTTAATATTTTCTAGTTGATAGTTACTCACCATTTTCGGGCCGTGCAGTTTTAAACATTTTTTTTCCGACTTCCATGGCCTATATGTAAAATAAAAAATCTCCAAACTTTGAACTCTAGGTTTCTAATTACAACTCGGTGTATTCCATCATATGAAGTGCCCAAACACTGGGTCAAAATTAAGGTTTGATTAAGATTTCCATAATGAGGGAGTCCCTCCATCAGGCTCCATGATATGCACCACACAATTCGTGAAAAACTATGAAGTTAAACTATACATTTTCCATATTAATAATGCAGAACATAACTTACCCAGGCAAACGTTTTTCTCTTTTGCGGGGTGAGCTTATCAAAATTCTGTTTTGTATTTGGCGTGAGTTTCTGAAATACAACACAAACACAATCAGACAACGCTCATTTAGTAACATGCATTTTAAAATCTCTTAAAATCTTGCCTCCGTAAAACTGTAATCGTAGTTGATATCTTCAGCGATCTGATTGTCTTCTGCTAATTCGCCATCAGTGTCACGATTACTTGCCCACGCTAAACAGAAACATTCACAACTTCATTATGCCTATACATATTCCTTCATATTCCTTTCAGTTTCCGGAGTGTACCTTCCATTTGTACACGAAGCATGTTCTCCACGTCCTCTAACGCTTCGATATCCTCTTGTAATAAGTTCAGCATCCCCGTGTCCTCATTGCATGCCCCCCTCATTTTCCTCGGGCTGATCGTCACGAATCTTGCAAGCTATTAACAGCAAATAATTTATATCTTATAATTATACCTTAATTTATATATATATAAAAATTTGTTGGGTTTGTAATTACTGTACAAAATTTCACATAATTTGCTTTAGTTTAAGCCATTTAACTATTCACGCAAACTTACTCACAAACTTAAAGGCATTAATTAAGCATGCAAAAGGTTATTTTTTTAGGAAAAAATGAATAGTTAAAGGGTTTAAACTAAAGCAAATTGCCTGAAATTTTGTGCAGTAATTAAAAACCCAACAAATTTTAAATCTATTAACTCAAACTATGATTAATGCTTTTAAATTTCGTGCGCAAGCCATTTTTAGTTTGTTGGAAAAGACACCCCCCCGGTTCACAACATTTGAGTTCGGGATTTTTTTTTCTCATTATTCTACATTTTAAGTACCCAAGGAAGCTATATTAACATCAAAAACTGGATACTAATAGCTGTTTTGCAAAATTGAGAGCAAATTCATATCTGTTCAGTTTTTTTTATACACCCTGTATATAGGCTACGGCATCTGAAACTCAAGATGTTCAACATACCAAATTCAATAACGTGCCTAGTGTAAGAAGACAAGGCACTCGAAGGGATTCTGTACGCTCTCCGCTGACAGGTCCCTCTTCTTTTTACCATATCGTCGAGCGTCCCATCTCCATTTGCATTGAAATACACTCCAATGGAGACTGGATTTTGGGTTTGTTTCCTCTGTTCCTCTTTAAATTCCTGTTTGAAAGATACACAAGTGTCAGAAGGCTTCAAAAACGAAAGCTGCACTATATAATTTGGTAATTAATCTATAACTATTCCGTAGCAATACATATAGCTTTGTCAAGCTTGTGCCTGTTTCAAACCTCGTACTTCTCATGTGTGCCGAACGCGTTAACAACAATAGACAATGAGGCTTCTCAACTGATTATCTACTGAATTTTTAATTTATTAATGCATTTGGCAAATCAGAAGTTTGAAACGGGCCTTACGTAATAGTAAATATATATCTTTGAATATTTTTGCGTAAGCCAAGGTTTAATTATTAGAAATTAAAATTCGTATCAATTGTTTTGCAATTATTATCCTACAACAACAGGAATCAGTATTCAATTCATACTTACACTGTTTGAAACGTCAGGAAAAGCATCGACAACTGACGTGATAATTGCGATGCCAGGAACTTTATTTCCAGCCACATCATGGACTGTTACACTTGGGTGCAACCATGTAAGAATCTAAAAATCATATTTTCTGAACAGTAGATCGCGATGATGGGGTTTAAATTGGGGAGACGCATTCATCGGAGAGATGAGGTAATGTAATATATTTTTGATTTGACAACTGTCAAATGATGTCCAATACCTTAGCCTTCGGGCGAATAGAAGTTCTGATTCATCCCATGCATGTTCTATAAAGTCCAGTTCACAGGCCGGGGTGAGGTACCCGACAAGCACGAGGAGAGAAAAAAGGTAAAACTAATAGGGATGATGTGCAGTGTATTCTTATCTCGCTCGTGTGAACTGGACTTAACGTATATTTGAACTCGTATCCATTTTAGAATAATTAAACCCCTAAATTCATGTAGACATAACAATTGAAAGGTAAACCTACCGGATCAGATTGTTTCCTTATTTTCTTTATGATATTTTTTTCCAACTTTTGCATCGCAGAAGGTCCGGCAATCTCTGATTCGGTTATCTCTTGACATGTAAACAAAACATAATCGCAAATGCCTGGTGTTTTTCCACATGACAATCGTAACTATATAAATAAGAATATAAAAACAATGTATGCAGGTTAATGATTGATTATAGTGCTGAAAGTAGGATATTAAAATCATTCCTTGCAATACATCAACATACCATCGTAAGGGCAATTATCATCGACGAAACACCTTTCATCCACCTTGGCTGCAACTTTAAATTTTGAAGGAGTCCTTTAAGCACCTTCTCGACCACTTCGTTTGCGTCCTCAAACACTTGTTCCCACAAATCGAAATATACGATGGCTCACGAAAGAAGAAGTCCATTGCCACCCTTAAATATATAACGTGCAATAAAATAGTTCTATTAGTGAGCATCCCTCATTTTCTAGATCTTCTTACATGTATATTAAATATACCTTTTTATCTTCCATAAACAATTCCAAGTCTTTGAGTTGTTTTTCATCATTAAACAGTTGTTATTTCTAGTCTGGCAATTATGAATATCAGATCGCTTTGTGAATTTATTTACAAGGTAACTTGGCGCAAGGTTGTTCAGACATTTATAAGTCATTATCGTGTCTTTGTAAATAAGTAAGTTTTCAATAGATAGCCAGTTAAGTTCTTGAAGACCTGGTGTTACATGGTCAAACTTTTTAATACTCGTGATGATTCGGCATGTGAAGTTCTGGACTGTTTGCAATTTCTTTAGATTTTTCGATGAGGTAGATATGATCGTCGTGAAGATATGATCGTCGTGAAGATATGATCGTCGGGAAGTCCAGCAAAGTTCAAAGCCAGAAAATAGAAGATCTTTGATTGATGTTGAACTGTACTGATCATCATGGACAGAATCATTTGTCCTAGCTTCACTAAATCTCAGCTACCCCTTGTATCGGATGGAAACTTAATTAAAAGAAAATACAAATGAGCTCAATCACCTGTAACTGGGATCATAAACTCAGACAATACATAACATAATCACTTCTGTTTAGTTTCCACACCATCATATATATCATATGTGTTCACATTGCATGAATACATTTATACTCTTGGTACAAAGTGCCAGTGTAGGTAGTGACAATAGCTGTAGCAGACAGCAATGGTATGAACTTGTGAGATACAACTAATCCGCACATTACAGAAATATATTGATATATACTGTATGATGCTCATATACAGAAAGGTTGGGAAAACAATTTAGAGGCTGTTTATATATATGCAGACTCACTTAAACTCTTGCAGGAAATAATCTTGAATGAAATAGTTGGTGTATAGGTGTTAGGTGTTCTGTTGCGGGCAAAGAAACCCTGTACACAGGGCCTGACAGGGGTCACATTAGGCCAGGGAGGGGGGTTTGGAAATCACAAAAAGTTGGTCCCAGTTTTCTTTGAAACTGTTGCGCCTTTCTATTTCTGTGCTGTCGTATACCCACAATGTATATCCACCGATAAAAATCGTATAATATCAAAACGTTTTGATGTTGTTCGATTAAAATCGAGCAACAAAAATCGGTTAAAAATGACACCGCACACACAACGATTTTGTTAGTTTTAGTCAAACGATTTTTATCGGCCAACTAAAATCGCATCGTGTGTGCCAGGCTGTAGAGTTGCACTAACTGATTTAGAACTCCGCACATTTTGTGTAGAAGCATAGAATAAGAAATGAATAGAAGGGCAACTCGCGTGTACAACGCGTCCGTCATTTTTTATGCGCATGCGTGAGGTCCGCCATTACTCTGGCCAGTAACTGGCTGCTGGCGTACTATAGAATATATATAGCGAAAGAAGATGTTTGGGCTGGAAAATCGCGTTTTTTTACCATGTTTATCAACGACTGTGGGAATTTTGTACAGAAATCGAAATATATAAGGTAAGACATAACGACTGGGTCGTCTACAGGAATTTAGATACTTTTCGCGAGCAAAAATAAACATTCTATACAACAATGTGTCAATGTTTACAGTTAAAGTGTATATGCAAGGAAAAATGAAAAATTTAAAATTTCGAAATTTGGAAAGAAATGACCTCCCTTAACTAGGTAAAAATATTTTTAGTTAGTAAAAGCGCTCTAAAAGTATTGAAAATGACCTAAAATGTACGACAAATACAGCTATTTTGAATCGTTACCTGATGAAAAGACTGGTACCGAAAATTCCGGCCTTGTGACGTATGCAGTGTGACACATCCAAGTGTTTACTTGAATGAAAACTACAAAATATCACTAATCGCAAGACAGTAGCTTGTATATTTTTCCTTAAAAACGCAAAAAATGTCCGATAGCGAAAGCTTTGAATCACAGACAGATACAGAACAGCCAACAGATAACGAGGACGTTGTTGAGCCACAATCGTCTGTTGTACAGCCCTATCAGTTCGAGCCAGTTGCTGATCGTGACTAATGACTATGAGGAAGACGAAACAGGCGAAGACGGTCTTGAGGCGAGATTTACGAAAACCGTAGCTGTTAGTTCATGGTAAGTTTAACAAAGCAGTCTAATATCAAAGCGTTTCTCGAATTATTTATTAGCGTGTTTCGTTTAACATGTGAATTGATTTTAGGTGCACATTTGAGATTCTTGAATGTATGGCCAAATTTACGTACGATGGAAAAGACGCTGAATGTATTATATAGCACTGGGACTATCCTGTTATTACGCACCGAACACTCGAACAGTATATTACCGCAAATCAACAAGCAGAACTCAAGACGGGCAAAATGAGTAAGTCAAATTAATTTCACTAAATTTTGGTCAGTTTTCATCAGTATTTTCTATATATATTCGCAATAATCGCAAATGGTTGTATTTTGTAAGATTTTGAAACGTGTATTTTAATCTATCTATTGCTTTGAAACAGTGCATTCGTGAAGGTAATAACTCAGTCTCAGTGTTCGATTGTTAATGTTTAGATACTTTGATACCTTCGTGCAGTGGCGTATATCGGTGGATAGTGAGATGCATGGATATTCGGCGTTATTCGCCATGCTCGGATGGGAAAACTCTAGACCGCTTCCAGCATGCCTGTATAATGAAATCTGGAAGAGGTATCCGTCTCAAAGCAACACTGGATATAAATAATCACAGCAGAGAACTGAGAACGTGATAAAAAGTGTACACTTTGTTACGTAAACTGATATTGTAAATTATAAGTATAAATTAACCTAGTCAAATAAATGGTTCTTCACTCGGACTCTGTCGCGTGAGTATGATCCACTATTAAGAAGTATATATAGAGCGCTCCGGCCTCGGTGGTTAATACGCCTGTTGTGAAAACATAATTTCTTGACTGATAAGGCCAGAAAGGAATTACATTAATTACAGCCCAGAATAGTATTCATTTGATGCAGCTAGTACACAACCAGTGACTAAGGAATAAATTGCGCGCAAACAGTATATATATATACGGCACGTTTCAGCAAACGCAAATAGACGAAAACATGACATACTTGAAGCGTAAACAAGCAACGAGCTTAACTGTGGTATGACGTGCGAACTGAGGTACTTTAGTACTTATATTCCTAATAGTTTATTGCGTTCTTGGTATGCTCAACTTCGTTTACTTCAATTAATTTCATTTCGCCTATTCTGTCATAGTACGGACTGTATAAATTCTAGCTATATCCAACTATCTACAATGGACTATATACAACGAAAATATCTACAATATGCCATAACTAACGACATCTGAAACCTACACTGCTACTACAACATTGATTTCGCATTTCGGCGGCTTATAAGCGATAAATCGTCGTATGGTGATATCATTGCATTGATTTACCAATGTATCGCATCTACATAAGGCAGATTTATTTGGATTTTGTTTAAATTATCAAAAAATCCCAATTCAACGCAGTTAAAGCTACATTGTTTATAGTATTTACAGATAGGAAGAGTGCACTGTGTCACACTGCATACGTCATCATGACCTCTTGGCCGCGCGAGGATTTCATCAGCTAAAATTTTCGTAGCCCAACTTTAAACGCAAAATTCACAAACTTCTAGTTCGAAGTATTCAACAAGGTTGGTATTAAAATGATCAGAAAAGATGAAATTTTCAAATAATGCAAAAATCACAAAATTGAAATTTTCATTGCATATACACTTTAATAGATACAATTATATTTTGTGTGAAGTTTATATGAACACTCATCTGAGTCAATTGGCTATCCTCTTCCTAATATTTCTTATCATTTCTTATCATTATTGTCATAAAATAACTGATAACCATTTGTATTTCGGAAAGACATTGAGGTTTTATTTATTAATTTGTGTTTTGACTCAAACACGCTATGCCACTTTACTTTTGAACATAAATTTTCGATGTCTTGGATAAGAAATTATTTGTAAAAAGCAAAAACAATCATGTTACTATGATAAAAGACATTTGCTGAGCTTAATAGTGCTTTAATAGTAAAACTGCATGACGATCCAGATCCTAATGAAGAATGATTTCTATTTCGTTCTTATATGCAGTGATTACTTTAGGTTCAAATTATAAATCCTATTTTATGGAGTTTTAACGCATTTACCAGAAATTTTGAGATGCATTTTTTGTAAAGTGTCAATATTTGCAAGGTTTATATTTGATTGCTGCCCTACTACATGGGTTTTTAAATTTTATTTAAATTTGTTTAATTGTCATTAGTGTACATGTCACCTACACAACAGCAGCTGCTGATCTTGCTATCACTTTGTTTTCTTTTCAGTTTCATTGCAGCTGATCCTGTTTGCTTCTTTCATTTCAATACCCATTGTCAATACCATATTGCTCATAAAATGGATGTATTGATTTATGTACGAAACATTAATAAAATTAACATAGCAATTGTATAACAGCTATAATAACTAATGGTGTCATATTTTTAAAACTTAGTAAATGAATGGACTATTATTGTATAGTATTAAATGAAATAACATTGGAATATGAAAAGATACAATTGATTTGTGACTTGTGTTGATCATTTTAATATTGTATAGTGTGCATTTTGTGTCCTAAATAAAAATGATACATACAGTGGTGTACACAACTGCACTTAAATGTCATATAATATATATCTGCCATGGTGATGCCACCACTTACAATACAGTGTGTATATATTTACTTTAAAACCTCAGGTTCACCTACTTAACTGAGGGTTCAACCTGGAATCCACGATTCCTATAACCACCTGAAACACCTGCGTTTAAAGGGCTTGTTCATGCCACGTGCGTTTCTTCTGCGATAGTTCGAAGTATTTCCAAACAGTTTTCAAAGTGCTTTTCTGCTTATTATAAGTGTTTTTAAAATATGAGTAGTAGTAAAACAAAGCAGAAAGGGGGTAGCAGGACATACTGCTCAGCAGTTAATTGCTCAAATACCAAAGGATCGCATCCTGAACTAAGTTTTTTTCGCTTCCCGGCTGATAGCAAAAGGTAGGTCCACGTTTTCCGTAAAGACAGATGAAAAAATTTGAATGTTTTCCGTTGCTTTGTATATCGATATATAAATATATTAATTATTTAGATCTAAGGAATGGGTAATACTTACCCGGCGTCAGGATCTGCAAAACAAAACTGCGGACTATTTGTATAGAAATTGCCGTCTATGCGCCATTCACTTCGAAGACTGCATGTTTACAAGTCATCTGAAAAACCGACTAAATCCTCAAGCAAAGCCTACCCTTTTTGACATTCCGAATCCACCGCCAACAGTTGGTCAGAAACGACGATTCGTAGAGAGGATATCTACATCTGACGAAGATATTGTAAAAGGTATTTTTGAGTTTCCAGTAACCGGCTTTACACGTGGAACTTTACTTTTACCCTTTGGTTTATAATGTATATTGGTGAAGAATAAGAGTAAAAAAATATTTAGTTTTAATCAGAAATAACTAATAGAAGTATTCACTTTTCTGGCTATTAATTTTCGACTATTTTTTACATAAAAAAATATTGGTATAGAATATAATACTGTGCAACTACGAGCAGGGGCGAAACTAGCCCCTTTTAGTTAGGGGGGTGTCTGCTAGAATTGCCCTGCGAAAGCCGATGATGCCCTGCAGCAAAACATTTTTTTTGGGCCAAATTCCTGTTAAAACATGCATGAAACCCTTATTTTTTTACCAATATCTAAAATTTAGGTCTATAAATTCTATTCAATTCCCTCTGGAAGCCCTGGAAGCTACTTAATAACTCTACATTCTATCATTTAAAATTTTCATTGCCCAGCCAATCCAGATGATTTGCCCTGCTAATCCAGATGATTTGTACTTTGGGGGGAATGTCACCCCCCCCACACCCACACCCCCAAGTTTCGTCCCTGACTACGAGCTCGACAATGAGTTTTTTTTCCATAAAAGTATCCACACCGTTTCTTTTCAGAAAAAAGACAAAAGCTGGTAGCAGACGTGGAAGGTAAAAATGTTAAAAAACAGTTTACTAACAGATTATTGTATTATAATTTAAAAGATATAAGTAGTTATACATGATTTACATATTTTAATTAAACAGAACAATCTAGTGATCAAGCTAGGATGATGGTTGACCATAATCCAGTCATTGAGGATAATATTACAGGACTGCAAGGTAGAGTAGAAATATAATATTTAACTTCTTGAATACCCATCTCTTCTACAGTACTCCTCATTTTGTCCCCAGACTGGCAATGTATTGGGAAATCCTAAAACATAACCCAAAAAATATTATGGTACAATCTACAAAGAAACTAGTATTATAGTGAGAGACTGAGAGTGTATAGAAATGGTAATCATACTATACCTTGGCACTGGCTTACTCTTGTTTTTCTTTACTGATATATCCAGACCATCAAGAGGATTTACAAGAAGCAAAGACTGCAGAATTTTGTGGTCAAACCAGCAGCACCCTTACAACCAACACACCTAGAAAAAAGAGGCAGAGAAAAGTCATAGAGGCAAAAAATAAAAAGATTAGCAGATTGAATAAGAAGCTGAGCAAGGTCATACGAAACAAGAAGACCCAAGAAAGTGCCCTGGATGATGCCCTCAAAAAGCTACCCCCACATTTGGCTGGCTTTGTTAAATTGCAATTCGATCTCCACACAGCAAAAAAGCATGGCAGGCGTTACTCACCAGAGATGAAATCCTTGGCAATTTCACTGTTTCATGCTAGTGGAAAAGCATATCGTCTCTTGTCCAAACTTTTTATCTTGCCAACACGATCTTCCCTTCGGAACTACATCGGTAAGATGCCAACAGAGGCTGGTATATCACAGGCAACAATCAACACCTTAAAGCAAAAGGTTTCTCAAATGAGTGATATGGAGAAGTTGTGCTCACTGTGCATGGATGAAATTTCATTAAAAACCCACCTATTCTACAGTATCCCCAAAGACAAAATTGTTGGTCTGGAGGATTTTGGTGGTGGATATCGTACCAACAAGGTGGCAACCTCTGCACTGGTGTTGTTGGCACGGAGTATTTCTGGGAAGTGGAAACAACCTATAGGTTATGTTTTTGTCAATGGTGCATGTCCCACTGATATCCTAGAAGATGTAATTAAGGAAGCCCTTGATAAGCTGCAACAGATTGGTTTGAATGTCCTAGTGGTGATGTCGGATATGGGTTCTAATTTCCACAGCTTTGCTAATCGAATGGGTGTGACTCGAGACAAACCCTGGTTTACATATAACAACAAGACCTACTTCTTGATGTTTGATCCTCCTCATCTGCTCAAATGTGTCCGAAACAACCTCATAAAGTACACCTTCAAGTTTGATGGATATGTTGCTGTATGGAATGATGTGCAAAATTTCTACCAGAAGGACATTTCCCTCACCATTCGAGCTGCCCCAAAATTAACCGAGAAGCACATTCACCCAAATAATTTTGCAAAGATGAGGGTAAAATATGCAACACAAGTCCTAAGCCACACAGTTGCAGCTGCCATTTGCACCTATGTTAGTGTCGGAGGTCTCCCTTCATCTGCTATGGGAACTGCAGAACTGCTTTCAAGATTTGATTCCATTTTTGATTGCTGTAACAGTTCCAGATTACACACAACCAAGAAACTCCGGTGTGCAGTCAATGAGAAAACATCACACATTGAGTATCTAAAGGAAAGCATCACATTCATCAAGAATTTGAAAGTGTTTCAGGGTGACAAAGATGTGACAGGTCGGATTAAATGTCTTCATGGCTGGTTAGTTACTATCAATGCATTAATTCTAATCTGGAGCAAGTTAAAGTCCAACCATCAGTTCAAGTTCCTCTTTACTAGAAGGTTAAATACTGACCCTTTGGAAAACTTTTTTGGCACTATCAGGCAGCAAGGGGGTAATAGTGATAATCCCACTCCAGTCCAGTTTACAAGGGCATTCAGGAAACTCTTTTTTAGCTCCCTTCTCACTTCCTCAGCTGGAAACTGTGCAGCTGACTTCGACGTCATGCTGGCTGAGTACACCAATGCTTCGAAGAAAGCCAAAAAGAAATCTAAGAACAAAACAACAGAGCCCAGTGAAACTCCACAGCCCCAAACCTTGGCAATAGGTCCTACAGACTACAGGGAGCCAGAAGTTAGCACAAACATTATACAAGACAATGCAATTGCTTATGTCGCTGGATACCTTTTGAAGAAGAGTTTCAAAATCCACAAGTGCCAAAAATGTCAGGATGCTCTTTTGTCCAACCAATTGGATGACAACCGAAATCTTCTCTGTTTTTTCAAGTCATTTGAAGATAACAAAACTCCCTTTGGTGGATTGAATGCACCATCACACTGTTACTTGGAGTATGTTATTAAACTTGAAGATGTGTTTTCAGATCAATTTTCTGTTTACACAAAGTGCCCTGGTGTTGGAGCCAACATTTTGACGAAGATCAAAGCCATTCCCATCACCTTCCAATGCTGTCCAGAATTTTCCCTTGAATATTTGCAGAAGCTGTTTATAAGAATGCGAATATACTACAGCATAAAATTTGCCAACAGAGACTTAGCCACATCTAAACCAAAGGACAGAAAATACATCAAAGTCACACATCTTTAATAATTACTGCTCTGGTTATACAAGACTGGATTGTATTAAAATATAGCCTTAAATGACTATAAAAAAGTAAAGTTACTGTTCACGAGCCAAACATTTCGACACTCTTCTTAATAGTTTAGGATATTGAGGCACAATAAGGATGTCCATGTATGATTTGTTATTCAATCACTGCTAAAGATAGGCAGATTAAAACTACTGTCTGCTATTGTACGATAGGCGATAGCTACTGGGTTCGGTTCTCCATGAACAATATCGAAGAAAAAAATGCGCCTACGAGCATTTAGTTTGACTTTTAAATAAATAAATTGAAATTACATACCTTCTCCTTGAATGCTCTGGTCATTAAAACCAAAATTTTGAACATAAACTCCCACGGTATGCTTTTAAAACGAAAATATAACCCTCGCTCAATACAATTTATATTTATTCTGGCAGCAAGTTACTGGCCAGAGTAATGGCGGCCGTCGAATTTCCGGTATGCGCGACACGACATGCGCGAGGACACCGACTTCAAAGGATCCGACACTCAGTTGCCCTTCTATTCATTTCTTATTCTATGCCGACGGCGCGAAGCGCCGTGCGAGGGTACTAATTCCCCCCGGCTATTTACACCCGGGGAAACGAAAGCATTAGCGGAGTCAAAAGTTCATCAAATATCGCGGGCGTGGGTGACCAACCGTGGGTGGTCATCCTCACTGATCTCAAATATATGGCGGACTGTCATGAATAGCGGACACTGATTGGTCCAATTTAAAATTTGCATTATAACGACTGCATAACGACAGCGAAATAGCAAACATTTCTTGATTTGATGATTGATGAGTTTTTTGCTCCCATTTTTGCAAGATTTTGTAAATTTCAAACGTTTTCTCATAAAGAAAGGGCGAAAGAATCGGATAAAAGAAGGGAGCCGACGTTAACGAAGGTAAGTTTGTTTTAAATATTGATTTTATAATGGTTTAAAACCCGACGGCCTTCGCGTATATGAAACAACTAAACAAGACAGCATATAATATTAGTGTATCTTTAATATTGATTCCCTTTTTTATTATATTGAATTTTTTAAATAAATAAAAAAGAAAGCAAAATTTTTTTTGCAAGCGAGAATTTGAAATCATTTTATTGCAAACTCAAAGTTTATCGATCAAGCCATTTAATTATAAAAGGCTGTTTAGTTTTATAAAGAACACTTTAAAACGTTTTGCGAAGCGTTTGTGGTTGAATTTTATCTTAAATTGAAGCCTATATTACGTATAATAACATACCTAACATATATATGTTGGGAAATTGATAATTTTGTAATTAAAAGTGATATTTTTAAGATATTTGTAAGAATATTCTTAAAAAATTATCGTGTTACCATGACAACTGCTCTAGATACTTCATGTTCGGAAAATACAATGGTTTTGTCAGCAAGGCGAGGGTTTCTGCATGCATGTATTTTGTAGTTTATTAATAACATATGGAAACAAAATACTGTAGGTCTGCACCATAGAAATAATAGATATAGAATGCGTACTCCTATCTTTTCTCAGTGAAAAATTTGTCTCCACAAAATGGCGGATTTATAAGGGCATTTTGGTTCCCAGACTCCCAGGCGGCAGTATATCTATGGGAATTTCAGTGGGAATTTCGCGCGGTTGCAGAGAGTGCAAGTTGTTTTTTCAAATGCAAAGTTTGCAAAAATTTTATATCGAGACTTAAAATGGAAAAAAAAGTGTCTAAAAACCCATTCTAGAGGGCTTTTTTATGAAAAGCAACAGTTCTGAACAGAATATATACAGAAATCATCGTTTAAAAATAAATTTTCAACGTTGTTGTGCAAGCCAAAACAAAACCCGAAAGATCAAGACAAACTCAAACTCAATAGGTATGTTCTATAAATATTTCAACTTTTTTATAATATAATATAATATAATATAAATGAAGTTCAGTAATCTTTTTAAACTTACACAATTACTTTTCATATTTTTCTGTGTTGTTTGAGCTTGAGGCAACGCTTTTGAAACCATAGCTTTCCACGATTATTTAGACAATTTACAGTCTATCGACAACTAAATATTTTTGTTTCAAAAAAATAAAAAACCTTCGTTTACATCAAAGAAAACCGAAAACCGACGAAGAAAGAACTATCATTGAACTATCATATTAGCAAAACAGTGACGTTCAGAGCATGCAAAAAGGTTTTATGAGTAAATTATATTTACGCGAAACTACTTTGTTTACAAGACTTCACGATTTTCATCGTTTTTGTATAAACTGCACATTTGCTTTGACAGTTTGTGCCTTCAAAGAACTTAAAATCTATCCCCAAACTACAAATTAGACAACAAGACAAACGTTTTGACGATGAAAACGTAGTTTTAGCTTTGTTCATACTTTGTTGTTTGCACTCCTAGTCAAATTCAACATGGCAGATTTATAAGGGCACGCATGAGAAAAAGTGGAGACATGATTCGTGATCAAGTACGCATTCTATATCTATTATTTCTATGGTCTGCACCTGCCGACACTCCAAAGCATACATGCGACATGGGCAAAAATACCACCATTCGTTCAGCTCATTTATATTATCTGTTTGGATCATCATTTTATATACATTTCACAGCAGAAATTGTGGAGATAGTCGCTCGAATGAATTAAAGCTCCAGCTTGAACTTGATAGTAGTTGGTAAAGTTCAGAAGAAACCTTTTACACCTATATATGTATAAACTAATATTTACTAATTTCAAATCTTCTCCAATGTACTCATTTTTTAAAAATTATAATGATCAGTGGCTCTCTGGCACAGATTAACGAGATTATCTAAAGTGCGAGCTGCGAGTTGCGAGTTGCGAGTTACGAGTATATTGTTAATTTCTAATAACATCGGGTTTAATTTTAACCCAGGGTTAACACTAACCTGGCTTTGAAGCACCGAACCAGGTGTTTACACCTGTGGTTTACACTAAAAATTCTAATTGAAAACTGTATGGCATCCTGGCGGATGTGATTTTAGCTTTGTCTCAATTTGGCGCCAATTTTCAGCTTTTGAAATAAACATTCATTGCATTTATTTTTATACTTACAAACTTGTAAATAGCAATCGTTTTGATATACTGATGGTTTTTCCCGTGTTTAGATAAAGTTTAGGTATGTATATGTATGTCTATGCATAAATTGTATAAAATAAATTGTACTTCCGATGAAATGGACTTGAGTTTTATAGCGTTCCCAGCGTTCAGTATATATAAACAAACTGAGTCGGTGTCTGGTCATACTTACTAATAAAATTAAATAACCATTTTAAGATTAGAAAGCACAAAATGGTCTGGATAACTACTAGATTTAAACACAGAAACGGCAAATATAAACTTGCACTTTCATTTTCAATATAATTATTTTAATTCTTGAACATACGTATCGATGGATCTAACAAAGTAAACAAACAAGTAAAGGCCGATTTTCATCTCGTCCGTATCGTAGCATTTTCTTTTGTGTCGAAGTCGTTATTTCCACTCTAGTGGTCAGGAAACAAAGAAATACGCTTCGCTACGATACGGTTGAAGTAGAAAACCGGCTTAAAGTGCGCACTGAAAACGTGTTGAAATTAACCAATTTAGTTACAGGGACCTTAACTTCGAAGGTCATTAATACTTATGAAATAAAAAACCCTTCGATGAAAAACCCTTCGCCTTCCATGTCGTCCATATTAATATACTTTCAAAGCCTAATTCAAAGCGAGGCAAGCGACTCGCAACTCGCAACTCGCAACTCGCAGCTCGCAACTCGCAAAATAGCCGACCCCCAGATTAAGAGGACCAGATGTCCGACTTCAGTTAAAAAAGCGTAAGGGCTTCGTCACTGCGCATGCCTTACTGCGCATAGCTTAGCAAGTGACTAGAGGCAGTCACCCCCCCGACATTAAATTTCAAAATGGCGGCAACAATTTTATTTTGAGACAACAAACATGAAAATAAACTCTTTTTATTTGCCCGAGAGAGGGATTGTGTGGTTAAATTTGTGTCTAAAAATTTCAACGTCAGTACGCGTATTGGAAAAGTGAGTTCATCACACTTAGTTTGCAATATTTTACGAATTTTTCTGTTTTTCGATCGTCGTAGGGGTGAAAAACTATAGGCGAAATGAAAATGCCACTTTGCTGAGGTATTTGAAGTCATTTTCTACAATGTACGATGTGTTTTCTTGCACTTTCGACGATGTCTGATATTTATTGACAAATTATGTGCATAATTTATAGCTTTCTTTGTATAGATATTAACTAGAAGTAGAAGACAACTAGATAAGTTAGTTTTGTTTACAAATTTTACATTGTATGCATGAATGTATACATAGTATTTGTAAATATTAAGTTAATTCATCTACTTATACAAAGACTCTCTGATAAAAATCTTGTAACAGGAAATGTCATGTGAGTTTCAGAAAATGTGTGTCTCAGACAAAAATTATTCTAAAATTAAAAACCTCACCTAGTCTACAAAGTCTACAAACAGCAAATTACAAAAATATATAATTTGGGTATATTGGACAGCCTTTCCTCTAATGTTAGTATAGACTACATGTGTAGGATATTAGCACACTGACTAAATGGAATTCAATATTTAATATTCTATAAAATCTATTTTGTTTATACACAAGTCTCACAAACTATGCATTGCAGTATTCCTGACTGCAAAGTTTGCAAAGGGTGCAGCTAATTTTTGTTTTAATAGGTAAAATAGTATTATGCCGCAAACTACAAAC